GACATAGCTACCTGCAAAGAACGTTTAAGCGTTCCTCATTACCTCAATACTAATGTTGTTTCAATACTAGTTTTGGGACATAGCTACCTGCAAAGAACGTTTATTCGTTCCTCATTACCTCAATACTAATGTTGTTTCAATACTGGTTTTGGGACTCACGGCTCTACATTTTGGTTAAATATAATGATGCATATATTATGAAAACAATTATTCGAAACAACTTACCACAAACGTTGGTGTACGGTTGCATGGTAGTGTTAAATATGGTCTTGAGGAATAAGAGGGCGCTTCCAAAGTAGTCCACTAAAACAAAGTTACCATTATTATTTCGTTTGATTATTGATTACCTTTCTTCTGAACACTTGCTCGTCTAACTCCCAAAATAGATTCCTACTAAACTACATAAAAATTATATTCTGTTGCAAACACATGTATTGATTGTAGACTATTCCTGCATTAAGTAATACAATAGGCTATAAAATTGAAAACCATTTTTGTATAAGTAATACAATAGGCTATAAAATTGAAAACCAGTCTTGTATCAAGCAACATAATAGACTAGAAAACTGAGAACTGTTTGTTTGTCTATTAAGTATCATGTCTGATTGGAAACTGAAAAGGATATTTTAGTATAAAAGGCTAGCAAAATTGAAACCGGTTTTGTATTAAGCATTATAATGAATTAGAAATTTGAAACCGGTTTTGTATTAAGCATTATGCTAAATTAGAAAATTGAAACCGGTTTTGTATTAAGCATTATGATAAATTAGAAAATTGAAACCGGTTTTATATTAAGCATTATGATAAACTAGAAAACTGAAACCGGTTTTGTAACTCATAGCGTATAAATGATTGAGTTTATGATAATATTTTGTACCTTGATTACTTCTATAAATAGTAAAATTATATTATTTGTGTGAAAAACTGTTTGGTCATCCTGGTAAAAATTATCATTGCTGGAAACTCAGATCATTATAATATAGTCTGTTTCTCTATGTAGTTATTGTTTTCTCTTGTGAGATTGGTTGGCTGTGATACTTCTTGAAAACTTAGATCGTTATAATATAGTCTGTTTCTCTATGTAGTTATTGTTTTCTCTTATGAGACTGGTTGGCTGTGATACTTCTGGAAAACTTAGATCGTTATAATATAGTCTGTTTCTCTATGTAGTTATTGTTTTCTCTTATGAGATTGGTTGGCTGTGATACTTCTGAAAAACTCAGATCGTTATAATATAGTCTGTTTCTCTATGTAGTTATTGTTTTCTCTTATGAGATTGGTTGGCTGTGATACTTCTGAAAAACTCAGATCGTTATAATATAGTCTGTTTCTCTATGTAGTTATTGTTTTCTCTTATGAGATTGGTTGGCTGTGAAACTTCTGGAAAACTTAGATCGTTATAATATAGTCTGTTTCTTTACGTACTGTTTTTTTACGATGGTTGTTGGCTGCGATATATATCATAACAGAGCTTTACAAACAAAATGAACTTTACCAAACTGGTGTATTTTTATAGCCAGTGTGAAATGAACGTACAAACTACCAAAAATGCTCATTTAAAAAAATCAAAGAGCTAATTAAAATAGTCGAGAAAATTAGATTAAAAAAAGGTAAAATATTGAATCAGCTTTTTTTCAACTTTTCAGTCTCACAACATGTTTGTTTTTCTTCTTCCTTATAGTTAGTCAGTTTGTTTTTCTTCTTCTTTATAGTTAGTCAGTTTGTTTTTCTTCTTCTTTATAGTTAGTTTGTTTTTCTTCTTCTTTATAGTTAGTCAGTTTGTTTTTCTTCTTCTTTATAGTTAGTCAGTTTGTTTTTCTTCTTCTTTATAGTTAGTCAGTTTGTTTTTCTTCTTCTTTATAGTTAGTCAGTTTGTTTTTCTTCTTCTTTATAGTTGGTCAGTTTGTTTTTCTTCTTCTTTATAGTTAGTCAGTTTGTTTTTCTTCTTCTTTATAGTTGGTCATGTGATATGAGAGAAAGAGAGAAAAGCTACAAGACCTTCGGCGTTTCATGGATGAACGATTTTTTTTTAAGGTTAACCCTATAGTATTTCTTTCTTAAGATTACTACCCCAGTTCGTGCGATGAGGGAGAATTCGCTGTATGTCAGAATAAAAGCCTGTGCCTTGACCGAAGCCGCTTCTGTGACGGGATCCCAGACTGCCCTGATGGAGAAGACGAAAGTTTCTGGAAATGCTGTAAGTCCTAGTTTTTTTGTTGATAAACACAATGTGGCTTAAACGTTCAGTTCGTTCAATATTTTTGTTCATATCCACCTCAGGATAATAAACACGTGTTTGTAAAAGTAACTTTAACTTTTTTCTATAAGGTGCCAAATAGCTCAATAATGAGAGATGATAAAACTGGTTACGTATAAATTAGTCCCTTAGTGTCTCAGCAGTAAATTCGGGGGCTTATAATGCTAAATATTGGGTTTAATACTCGCGGTGGACAGGGCACAGATAGTTGGTTCATGGTGTAACATTGAGCTTAACATGAAACAAGCCGACAAACATCTAAATTACAATACTGACAAATCGCTTTATCTTTGTCGTATCTGTTATTGTTATCTTGTACACCTTACTCGTTTTTGTTTTTGTTCTTTGTAGTTGTTTAAAAATATTTTATTTCTTTGTTTCAAAACCATGTCAGTACTGGTATTATACATCTTGAATTTTTATTATTTTTCTTACTAATTTACGGAGCAATTCAGTTTTTTGATGGCTAACAAATTAATCCATTTTGCGTCATTTTAAACAAGGAATGAAAAGAACATATTTTTTACGATCACGTTAATATACCCACTTATTTGTAAAACGCTCCCTTAATAACTTGGAATGTGTCATGGTGATTATTATCGTGTGCACACGTACAAAGTATGAATATCTCAGTAATTTTTGTAACGCTATTAGAACGAAGACACATTGACTTCATAGTATCTATAGGCACTCTTGAACAACATTATCTATTTAATTTAACATCAGAGAAATCTTTCAGACACCAGGTTGTATCATTAGGATGGTGAAGTATTAGTAAACTAAAACAAACAACATCTAATATTGACTGAAGCAGTAAAATGAATAAACAAGTTCGTTGTTCTTGTTTTGGCGCCAAGCTACACACTGGGCTACCTGCGCTCTGTCCACCGTGTGGAATCGAACCACCAACTAAACAAAACCGAGAAGGAACAATAAATACGTGGATATTTTTCAAGAAAAATCTGACACTATCACAAGGGATTAGAAATGTGAACAAAGAAGTATAAGTTTTGGCACTCTCTAGCTGAAT